TTTCTTCCAAAAAAGAAAGATAGCTTATTATTGGAGGTAGCTTATTTTCAGCAATATATGTAGGTACTATTATTATTTTAGAGTATTTAATTGAATAATTTATATTTTATGTAGTATAACTCAAATTGCATCAAATTATATCAAATATTAAATCAAATATTTGAAGAATCCTATTAAATACATATATCAGTCAGGGATATTTCCATATTTGGCGTATATATTGCAGATCATTCTAGAATACGATTTGTTATACGAAAATGATGATCTAGAAAATTAGTCATCTACACTTATTAAATTTTAAACATTTTCACGGGTTTTACATGACAAATTTACGTGAAATTGTCTTTGTGACATAACAAATCCTTATAAAATTAGGAGGTTCGAAACAAGTAGTTTTATAATCAGTTGACGTTTTTCCAAAATCAATTCGGGTTGGAAGTTCATAACTATAGCAAAACACGAAATTATTATAACTTTTTTTTCCTTTTTACTTATAAATACATTTGAAAGTTAGCATTTCGCGCTAGTTATTACGTCGTTGCGTTGTTGCGTCGTTGCGCCGTTGCCTCTAGTTCCCCCACCTTAATATTTGAATCAACGTTTGTATTTTGGTGCTCCGTTGTGAACTTCACCTGATCTAGTCCAGCAATCTATTAGAAATTTTTAACATTGAAATCAAAAAAAAAAAAAAAAACCATAAGTAAGTGCTTTATTTCTTCTAGAGAAAAGAATACCATTTATTAACATTAATTATAATCATTTTAGACATTATATACATCCTAATAATCACTAGTGACTGCTGTGTAATTTAATATATTGAAATACTTTTGAATACAATCCTTTACACCATCGCTATAAGTTTTGAGAATCATATAAACTAGTATGTAATTATTTATTACCTTACTAGAAATGTGGACGCAGTGCCATAATTCGTTGCAATTATAATAAGTTATGGCAAAAATGCCGTAATTCATTATAATTACGACGAATTACGGCATTGCGTACACACCTCTATACCTTACATCAAAATCGGGTGATGCTAAGCCTAAAGTTTTTTTTTTTTATTAGTGGAAGTTTCTCAACGACCGCGAGCGAAAGATCTACCTTGTGCTCTTGCTACCTTGGTTCCTTTATATAATAATATTGGTTTATTAGAGTGTGAAACTAAGGACCCACAGATAAAATAGCATGCGGATAGTAATTTACCAAAAACTCGTCTTCCATTGTTTAATGCTTTTTTTCCAGAATTGGTCCCAATTCAAGCGCATTTAGAAGATTTTTCTTTATGTGAAAAACATTATAACCAATTGGTTGTATCTGATTTTTTGCGTCAAATGTTATTAAATTCAAACTTGCCTAATTATCTGATAAATCAAAAACGAAAAAAAAAATAATGAAGAACTTGCCGAAAGGCAGGCTCGTATACGATATACTTATGAGGCAGAGGTTGATAAAAATACATGTGAAATTGGTGTGCAAGCTAGTGCACAAACTAACGAGGTTGGTGTACAAGTTAATAAAGAGACCCACGAGATTGGCGTTCAAGTATCCAATACTATATTGTATGCTCTTGAAAATCGTGTTTATTTACTTCAATTAGAGTTAAATTCAAAACTAAATGAGATAGAAGACCTTAGAAAACAATTAGAATATGCGTACGATTATGTAATAGAGAGTTGGGAGCATGTTCAAGAAATAAATAAAATAAATAAAAAACTAACTGAACAAAATAATGCATTAAAATATGAATGGAAAAATCAATATAATAGTCAAAAAAAAAGAATTGATTCCATTATTCAAATTGCAAACCAAGAACGCCAAAGCGTTTATAACGATATCGAGTCATTAATTTTGAATAAGCAACGATTTTCTCTTAATAATTTATTAAATTTTGTTCCCGATAATTGGTTAGCTAATCGCAACCCAGTAATTGTTAATTTTATTAATACTCTCACGTATAATGATGATAATAACTGTAATAATAATACATCAAATGAAAAAAAATTTAAAAAAATAGTTGCTATAGACGCTATATATGGATCGAGACATAAAAACTACGGTTCAGAAATAAATCTAGCTATAACAGGAATCAAATATTCGCTAGCACGATCTAAGACAATTATCGATATCGATAACCATATAATTAGTTCTGGAGGTTATACGAAATTCATTAATTGGTTGGAATCATTAGCAGTTGAAAATGAACCCTTACCTAAAGGACTTTTGTTTTTAGCCTTTGACAATGAACAACGCGGTTAATTTAACTATCTTGATCGTAGGCACAATATGGTTATCTATCATACAGTTACAAGTTTTGTTGCACTAAATATAAGTAAAAATGATTATGCTCAATTTACAATTGCGCCATGGACTTGTAATTCGATACCTGATGACCAGTATGAAAAATTATATTATGTTTTACCCGAAATGCAAGCAGAACTCGATCTAGAATTAAAAGTATACTTATCGTCAATTTTAGAGGAGCTTGTTATTGAAAAAAATAAAAAAATCAATACTATCGATGCAGCTGTAAAAAATCAAAAAGGCGTCGGAGGTCAATCGAAGTAGTGCAAAAAATGCAATACAACTAATATCGACAATAAAAAACGTAACTGTCCTCAGTGTAATAAAAAATTAGATACGTTAGCTACTTTACAAGCAGAGTCTGCCAATGAAGTTAATCAAACTAATAATCCAACCCAATCAAAACCTTTCGTAATAAAGTCTCACACATACGCTCAAAAGCAAAAATGTCCACAGTTTGATCGTATTAGTATTACACAATCGAACCCTGAGCACGATATTATTGTTCCTGAAATGTATGTGCCAGATCCATTAGAATTTAATTCTAATTTAATCGTTAATGTTAGAAAAGTTTTAGAGTATGTACAAAATATCACGGAAATAAATGAAGCACAAAAATGGTTACCTGTTACTTGTGATGGTGTTCCTTATACTCTAGCTCAAAAGATTAAAAAAGACTTCCCATTGCTTATATTGATTCCTGGAGCCTTGCACGAAGAAATGAATATGCTCAAGGCATTCGTAGAATTAAACTGGTATTGATTTTTTTCATTATTAAGTTAATTCAAATAATACCGTTTAACCTAAAATTTTAACTTACTCTTTTTAAAGACGATTGACATCAAACAATTTGCTATTCTCCAAGGATACAGAACTGAAAACCAACTCGGTTTTTTTAAAAAATGTACCGATCATCACAAATCATGGGACTCTATTTGCAATATTTACCAGCATGCCATTACGTGTGAATTACTATGGCTATACGTAACTACGGCGGTGAATCCCTCAGTCGATAACTATCTAGATTGGGCCAAAAAGCAAAATGACCATATATATAAATTAAAATTTGAACAAGTAAGATTTTTTTGAGATTTTATAAAATATTAAATATATCCAAAAAATTTTACTATTAATTATTATAGACATTTACCTACCTGCAAGCAATTATTAATTTTCGCACGGGAGTTAGAAATAATCGACTATCGTTGACAAGTGCTGCTTGACGCATATTTGCTCCAATATGGTCTGGTCATAGGCATCCCATGTATCGTTTAATTGAAATAACCTATGAAGAGCAATTGATACGATTGAATCCTGAGATTAAACAGCGTATAGAATCATATTCAGTTATTTCACGGTCAGGATATCACAATCAGCATCAAGGCCTTGATGCTATTCTCGAAGAGGTCAATAAATCTTTAAAGGCCTTAATTCCACCCGTGCTTTCACAAAAACATTGGAGAATAGCAGCACGTAATTGTACCAAGTTCATAAAGGTTAATATTGAATAAAACATATTTATATTTAAAATATATATACTTATACTTCTACATTTTTGAAATAATTAGCTGCGTCACACATTATTTAATATGATTGGGCATGCGGATAATGAGTCGCCGGGATATCAGTCACGTCCAGATTATACGTTCGAATCACAACGATTTCGAATTCATTTGCGTAAAACTGGATTTTTAAATCTACAAGATGACAATCGCATTTTTAAAAGCTTTGGAGAGGAACGTCTACTTAGTGAACAATTGAAAAATTTTAGTAATTTGGCATGTAAAAGACGAATAATGTTTATTGACGAGACTTTTAAAAATAATATGTCAAATTCCTTACTTCGACCAATACCTATTACTGCTGAAGAAGAAGCAGCAGCTTTGAATGAAGAAAATATGTCAAAAAACGAGCTTTTGGCAATTATTGATTCATTGCTCAATTCCATCAACATTTCTGATCGTCCGAAGTATCGTGGTTTGCAACAAAAATCTCGTAGCAAATTGCAAGAAATTTTACAAAGTATTAGAGATTTACACAAGAATCAAAATGAACTTGAAAACGAAATAGAGCTAGAAAATCAAATAAATAAATAATAGTTTAATAAATTAAGATTATATTGATTACAAAACTCAAATAATACTTCGTGTTCTCTGGTTCCAAAATTATTTGATGGCATTTTTGTAAAATCATTTTTATTCGAAGTTTCTACATTCCGACGCTTTTAAGTTTTTTTTTTTTTTTTTTTTTTTTTTTATACTATATTTTTATTATATTAAATATATTAACAACTAATTCTCAGTGTTCGTAA